AGCTGCTGAGCTTGTCCTCCCAGGAATATGGGCAGGAGGTTGGGAAAGGGATGGATCCTTCCACATTGATTGGGTCTTGTAACGCTGGCACAAGCTGAAGGGGTCCTTTAGAGGGAGGTGGTGACACCTCTGCCCACCCTGCAGGCTGCCTCCCCTGGTGGGCACCACTTGGCGTTGGGGGGACTTGCCTATGTGGTGACACATCTGGGACAGGGGCACTCCAGTGACACGCACACAGGTACTGTGGGTGGCACTGGTGGGAAGCAGCTCCTGGCTGCAGCTGTTGGTAGCTTTGGCTGTGTCCCCAGCTGCTCCTGTTTGCTCTCTCTGCTCTCCTGGGTGTGCCCAATACCAGTGCAGTGCTTGGACTGTCACTTACGGGTGCCCTTTGGCTGTTTCCCTGGTAAATATTGGGATAACAGCTGCTCTCCAGGAGCAAGTCCTGCCCAAGGACTGAGGGTTGAGTTTTGATGTCCCTGCTGCCTGCACTGCCCTGTTGTCACATGCCCTGCTCAGGAGTGTCAGTCTCTGTTCTGTCAGCCCTTACTCTTTAGGTTAATTAGGATTGGCTCAAATCTATGGATTTGGGGCCAGATCCTATAGGAAGGTCCTTGCCTTTGTAGAAATAAGAGCTGCAGCTGAACCTGAGGACATGCCCAGGTTTCTGCCAATGCTGTTTTTACCTCCAGCATTCCTGGCTGGAATCTGCTTGACCTGTCCCAAATGCTCAGGGAGGTGAAGGGGAGGGTTCCATGCCCTCTGATACATCTGGTTGGGAGCTTCATCATCCTGTTGGTGTTTTCTCTTGTGCTACAGTAAGGAAAAACCAAGAAGACCATTCATTCAGTCTTGTCCCTGCAGACAGCCTGGAGCTGTTGTCCTCTTCCTTCTCTCCTCTTTATTTCTGTATTTGGAGCCCCAGCTGCTGCTGGGAGAGTGACATGTGGAGCTGCTCTTGTGCTTCTTAACCCCTGCAGTAATTGTGTGTGGGATCACTGCCTGGAAGGGAAATTCAGCCTGGTGCCATCACCAGCTCTCAGGGGAAACAGCTGGAGCAGAGGAGACGCTGGGACAGATCACCAGGGCAGGTTCCTGCTCAGGGCAGGAGATTTGGTGTTATCAGTGATGAGTCTTTTCCTACCCAAAAACTTACAGCTCAACTGGGCTCTAGAGAAGCAAAATATTGGCTGGCACAGCCCTGGAAGTGTCCAAGGCCAGGTTGGACAGGGCTTGGAGTAGCCTGGGATGGTGGCAGATGTCCCTGCCCATGGCAGGGGGTGGGACTGGGTGGGCTTTAAAGGCCCTTCCAACCCAAACCGTGCTGGGGTTCTGTGGTGTCTCAGGTGTATCCCTGTTCTTACTTCGCCTCACCACTGACTCAGTGGGCCCTCAGCTCTCTGGAATCTATTCTTCAGTATCTTTATTTGGTATTTTTTTCTGGTTTATCTTGTCTTTCCTTCCCCACACAACCCATGCCTCTCCCCTTTATTTTATCCTGATAGTCCTGCTGAGTTTGGAATTGAGACTTCTGTAAGAAACATTCTGTTCCCAGGGCAGTGGGGGGGTCTGTCCCATCCTTGGGAGGATTTGGAAGCCCTGTGGATGTGGCACCTGGGGACATGGGCAGCTGCAGCCTTGGCAGTGCCATGGAGAAGGATTGGATCTGATGATCTCAGAGGGCTTTTGCAACCTTAATGTTACTAAATAGGGATCTGAAGCACAAGATTTATTGTGACCTCTCCAAAGATTTTCTGGAGTCCAGTTTGGGGGAAGAGGGAAATGTGCTGCCATGGGGTCAGTGGAGCACAAATTCCTTATGCATGGGCAGCCCCTGGCATACCCAGGGAGAGGCAGGGGCCCCTGTGCCAGACCTCCACAAAAGCCTATATTTGTTGTTTCTTTAGTACTTGCACCTTCTGATCATAATTTCAACTTCCTCCTCCAACCTATTGGAAACCTGGATGCAAATCCTGGGTTAAAAAACTGAAAGTGATGATTTATTCCCAGAGGGGAAGTGCTTGTTGAGGCTGCACACACCATGTGGATACCTTTCAAAAAATTGCTTTAATCTGTCACCCCAAAAGGCAGCTTTGGCAGAAGCAGGAGGATGAATCCACAAGCAGCTGGACCTGAAAGGGCTTTTCAGGATTATTTTTTTGTTGTTGTTGTTAATTTCTTCTATTATTTTTTTAGTTATGTTCATAGTAGAAGACAGTAGACCAGATAGGCTAAGGAAATGGGAGGGTTAAACACAGACATGGTGCTTTTATCAGTCTGTGGATCCAGAATCAATCAACAAAGACTTTTCTCCTTTGGGAGCCTTAGAGAAGGACCAGGGCTCTCACAGTTTGCTGTTCTCAAGGGTGGACTTCTGTAATTCCTGTTGCCTGTGCTCAGGATGGTGTTGGCCTTTCCAAAACTCAGATCTGAACCCAAACCAAATCTTCATCTGCAGGACACAGCTGTGGGATTTACAGCTTTGGCTGGGGACTTTGTAGTACATGATCCCAAAAGCTTTTGGAAAACAAGGAGTGGAGCTGCTTTGTGCAAAATGGAGGTAAAAGCTGCTGCTTCTTGTCCCAAGGGTGAGGAGGGATGAGTGGGTGTCCTCCCTCTGGGGTGCTGCCAGTGATGAACTGAAAATGGGCTGTGGAGAGCATCCCTGTGCCCAGGCAGAACACCAGCCAGGTGTCCAGATCCTCAGAGGATTTGCTGTTAGGTACTGGACTGAGTCTTATCTGACCCCAAAAAACAGGGGGGCAGGGTTGGGGCTGGGTTTGCTCTGGGACCCAGAGCAGGTCAGTGTGGGAGGTGTGGGCTGGCCATGTGCCAGCTCCAGGTGTGGCACAGAGCCAAAAGGCCACTGGGGACAGTAAAAGGGGCATGGCTGACATCCAGGCACAAGAAATCAGAGCCTGGCTCAGCCAGGGCACCCCATCCCCATTGCTGTGGTGCCCAAAGGAGGGGCCATGGAGGCTCTAGCATCTCCCCACTTCTGATGGCTGAAATCCCCCCAGACCAGGCCCAGGGGCTGGTGGGAGTGAGTGTGGCCCTGCAGTTCAGCCCAGGCTGGGCACACGATGGCAGCTCTGTGCCTGAGTGCAGGCAGGACATCAGCCGCTAGGGCCACCCAGCTGGGTCTGGGCACCTCAAATCACAGCTCTGGATCACACCCGAGGCTTACACAGACATCTCTGGGATATGGCTTCTGCCTGGGATAGAAGGATGGAAATGAGGACAAAACAAAGACAGAGATTTCTCTGAAAAATGAAAAATGCTCTGAGGGCTGGAGCTCCTCTGCTCTGGAGACAGGCTGGGAGAGATGAGGCTGCTGAGCCAGCCCAGAGCAGCTGTGACTGCCCCAGCCCTGGAAGTGTCCAAGACCAGGTTGGATATGGCTTGGGGCAACCTGGGATAGTGGAAGGTGGGAAAGCCTACTGGATGGGCTTTAAGATCTCTTCCACCCCAAACCATTCTGGGATTTTATCAGGTTGTTCTCTGATACTTTAACTGCTCATGTGCCAGGTCTCTCTTTAAAAACATGAAATCTTCTCTTGGTAATTTATACTGATTCTTCATTTCTTCTTACTCAGCTTCCTCTGGTATTTTTTATATTTCATGAGGCAGGGCCTCTTCCTCCTTTCCACAATTCCCCTGCTGGTAAATGGCTCCGTGGGCTGCCTCAGCAGTAACCGTCTGTGAGGGGGTAACTGTGCCCTTCCCTCTTCTCTATTTTTTCAAAAAGGGAAGTAATAAAGAAAATTAGACAACACATCAAAATTTCCAGCCCAACACACACACGTTGCTGTTGTGGTCTCGAGCCAAGGAGGAGGATGTCAAACTGTAAACAAACTAAATATTCACTTCCCAGGCTTTTTATAATTAAAGTGGATATGGTGTTTTCTTTTATGGAGTTTTCCAGGAAGTTTTATGAAGACCAAAATGAGACTTTCCAAGACTGTGATGTGACTGTTGCACAAATACATGAACATTTATAGTGGGAAAACATTAACATCCCCTCTAAGGTCAGTGTGTGCAGAGCCAGACACCCTGCAAAAGAACCCAGATGAAGCTGAGTCCTCAAGGCCTTTGCTTCTCATAAGGGGAAATCTTTCCCAAAACTGTTCCTGAGAATCCTGTTGAGGATGTTTTTCTTCCTGGGAGAGGAGGGCGGAGCAGCCCGAGGCAGCATGAAGGGTTGTGGGGCTGTCCTGTCCCTCAGCAGCATCCAACAGCTTTGTTTCCTCTCCGGGAAGGAATTGCCCTACGGCAAAGCTTCACTGTAAGCCGCTTCTATTTACATCCAGGTCTGTGATTCCCCAGGCTGAAGAGGGCTGGGAATCCAGCCAAAACCACCAGACTCAGTTGAACAGAAGGGAAACATCTTGAGATGTTCACCAGGTCTGACTGCAGCTGATTCTGCAGCTTCCTGCATAAAAACCCATCCCTGCACTCCTAGAGATGTGGCACTGAGCCATGGCCAGCTCAAACCAGCACCAACAGGCTGCTCTGGAGAAAAGGGCTCCAGGCAGACTTTAGAAACTCCTTCCAGTGCCTAGGGGGGCTCCAAGAAAACTGGAGAGGGACTTTGGACAAGGGCTGGAGGAACAGGACAATGGCTTCCCACTGCCACAGGGCAGGGTCAGGTGGGCTATTGGGATAAATTGTTCCCTGTGAGAGTGGGGAGACCTTGGCACAGGGTGTCCAGAGAAGCTGTGGCTGCCCCTGGATCCCTAGCAGTGCCCAAGGCCAGGTTGGATGGGGCTTGGAGCAACCTGGGATAGTGGGAGGTGTCCCTGCCCGTGTCCTCCAGGTGGTGGCACTGGATCATCTTTCAGGTCCCTTTCAACCCCACACCATTCTGGGATTTTATGACAAGAGCTGGAAGCCCAGGCTGACCACTGAAACCTCAGGCTTCTGTACTCTGGCTTCATAGCACAGTGTTGAGAAGTTGTTACTCCAGTGTACAAAATCCATTAAAATTCCTTAAAGAAACAAAAAGGAAGTTTTTATAGTGTGAAGATCTTTGACAACACTCACCCAGCTCCACGGTCCCTCCTCACTGTCCCCAGCGCGGTTCTTCATCCTTCCCCACCTGCAGGGGGCCTGAGGCAGCCCAGCAGTGCTGCTCCTGCATCCAGGCAGCTGGGAAGTCACAGGGATGGGAGCAAACCCCTTCTCCAAACATCCACTCTCGGAGAGGAGGATCCGGTTCCAGGCCGAGGGCATTTTCACCTGCCTGGAGCCATGAGACTGCTGGGAACAGCAGCAGAGAAAGCAGAGCTGGAGGGATGCCTGGAGCAACTGCTGCTCACCCTGATGCAATGCAGGGTAAGTGCAGCTTAAACCCTTCATGATGGATGTTTGTTTAATTTGTGCTCTTCCCTCCTAAAGCTGCCGCTGACAGAACCGGCACAGGGCTCTGTCCTGGCCCAGGGCTGTGTTTACACTCAGCCAGTCCCCAAAGTCTGACTAAAGCTCTCACTGCAGCCTCACTCCGTGACTCCTCATCCTCTCCAGGCAGACACAGAGCACTTTATTCCCTTCTTTTCCATGGCAGCCTTTTATTTATTGGAGGAGGGTTATCCCAGCAGGGCAGGAAGTGCAGCTGCAAAGGGGAGGCTGGAGGTCAGCTCATCCCCAGCTGTCCCAGGCTCTGCTCCTCTGCTACAAACAACCCAATTCTTTCACTCTTCCCTCAGAGATCACATTTTCTAGATTTCCTTTAATCCTCACTGCTAGCAAAACAAGGGAGGTTTTTCAGGATGTGTTGTAAGAAGGGAGGAGCAATTTCCCACCCCAGTCCTTGGAGGTGGGATCTACTGTAGGAAATATGAGGAATTCCAAACTCACATGGCATTGTGTGAAGGTTGCAAAAGCACAGGATGGAAAGCAAAGGCAGCAAAGCAGTTCTGGAAGGACCAACCACCTTTGTCCAAGCTTCAGAAACCAAGAATATTGCATCATATAAATATCCAGCTCCATCAGAATTCTTCATCCCTACCGATGTGACCTAAAGGATCCTGAACTTGTTGTTTATCATAAAATAGGTGATTTGTTGGGTCTTCCTTGTCCATCAGCTCTCTTGCTTCTGCAGATGCCTCAAGCAATAACACAGAACACATTCACCTGCAGCAGCCCCCACATTCCCTGCCCTCCCCTGGGCCAAGGGAGGAGATGCCAGACCACACCATGGCCCCTGGATATGATACTGCTTATCCTGACCATTAAAAAAAAAAAAAAAAAAAAAAAAAAAAAAAAAAAAAAAAAAAAAAAAAAAAAAAAAAAAAAAAAAAAAAAAAAAAGCTCCTAATTTACCTTTCAGAAAAAAAGTAAAAAAGTCTTTGAAGGATAATTACAGTCTCCGTGTTTTGATTTTTTCCCCTCTGGAAGCCTATTCTATTCTATTCTATTCTATTCTATTCTATTCTATTCTATTCTATTCTATTCTATTTTCCATTCCATTTTGATTTTACTCTTCTCTATTTCTCTTCTATTTAATTCTGTTCTATCCCATCCCAGGTTAGGCCAGCTGCAATGATGTGCCATTCCAAGTGGGAATGCTAATTTAAGGGGCAGGTTTCTGGCTATCTAAGATGCAGTGAAATGCTTAGGAAGATGCCTCACAGACACTTGGGCTCCCAATGCCAAAAGAATGTAAAAAATCTACATAGGCATTTTCTTTATCTCAAAATCTTCAAAATCCCTGGATCTAACACAAACTGGCACCCTGAGCTCAGATGTGTTGTACCAGCAAAACTCAGTGTGACAACCATTTATTCATCATCCAACACTGTGTTGTTATCCAAGCAGGACTCCTGAGGGCATGAACTTTCCCAACCAGTCATTAAAAAATGTTAAAAAGCTTCTTCCCAACCACCTCAGTGCAGCAGCCAGGGCCTGAGGCTCTCCTGGCTGTGTGACAACAGTTCCAGACAGGAGCTGAACATGGCCAAGTGCACCAGAGACTGTGAGCAACAACCTTCAGTTCCTCTGTGCTCCAGTTCCTGGGAAAACCATCAGTGGCTGTGCAGAAGAGCCAAAAAAAACCAAACCCAAAATCAAGGCTGGTGAGGCCCTGGCATGGGGTGCCCAGAGCAGCTGTGGCTGCCCCACCCCTGGAAGTGCTCAAGGCAGGTTGGACAGGCCTTTGACTGATCTAGTCTAGTGGAAAGTGTCCTTGCCCATGGCAGGGGGTGGAATTGGTGATCCTTAAGGTCTCTTCCAGCTCAGACCATTTTGGGATTATATGGGCATAGCTCAGCAGAGATTCTAAAGAAACAGAACAGCCAAGGAGAGGACCTGGATGTCCACTTGAGTGGTTTCCAACCAACTTGGCAGGGAAGAGTTTTGTCCTGGACCCTGGAGTCCAGGACTTGTCTGACTTTACTTCTGGCTACCAGAATTCATGAACAGCAAATATTTGACGGGCCCAGGCAGAGAAGAGATTTGTGGATTTAAAATGAAGTGATCGAGGGCAGTTGTTTGACAGGGAGCTGGGCTTAGCCTCCCCAGGTCTCTGTGTTCATGAGGCAGCCAGAGCTTGCTGGAGTAAGGTAAAGCAAGGACAGTGTGGCACAGAAAAGAGACAAGGGCAGGGAGTCTGAGCTAGAAGAACCCAAGGGCCAGAGGAAAAGGAGAGACCTTGAACTGTACAAAGTTCCTGCCAGCTCATTTCCTCGGGCCCCTCTGGATGGCAGCACAACTCTCTGCTCCATCCGCGGCTCAGCCGGGTTTGTGTCAGTGGTAAAGGCTGTGTCCCATCTCCAGATTATTAAAGAGGAGATATTTCCAGCAGGAAGCACGGGGGAAGAGCAGCAGGCAAATGTTTAAGGTAGAAGGAGTCAAGAAGCAGGTACAGACTTGCTGGGCCTCAGACAAAGCCAGACCCAAGTGTTTGGTGGGTGACTCCTACCATGGCTCAGCCAGCAGCTCCTGCAGCCTCCCTGCGACTCCCAGACGTGTTTGGGGTTACAGGGCTGGGATCTGCCGAGCTGTGATGGCAGCACCAACAGAATGGGCAGCTGACACTGCAGTGTCCTCCCACCAGTGACTTCTTCCTAGTGTCCCCATCCCTGCTCACTGCCCTTGTCCTAGAGGCTTGCTCTGATCAGCTCAAGGCCACCCAAAGAGCTCAGACGTTATTAACTCCCAAAACAAACACACAGGAAGTTTCTCCTCAGGTTATTTCCTCCTCCTGTCCCCCTCCTCCTGGTGCCACCAGGCACCAATGACCAGAAAAGGCTCAGACCTCCCCCACCACTGCTCCACAGCACTCTGTTCTCCCCTCCCTACACTCTTCCATGCTCAGGGAGGCCCGGAGAGAATCCTGCATGGCTGGTGTCCTTCATCCTCACTCAAATAGTCAGGAGAGGCTTGTGGAGCCTCTTCCTTGGCACCAGTTCGCTCTGACACCCACGATCTCTGCAGGGATAGAAATCATGGACAGTGGGACCTTCTGGGGATGAGCTGCTGGATGTGTTCTGGTCTGACCCAGCTCCTCAGCTTGGCCACCCCACCCTGACAGCAGCACCAGGGCAGGGCTGGGCTCATGCTGTGCCACCTGGCTAAGGATGGCACAAGGTGGAGCTGCTCCATCAGGGAATGGGCTGGGGTCCTACGCTGGGATCTCCCCAGAGAAGGGGCTGCAGCCCAGGGCAGGATGGGGCAGTGGGGATGGGGACGCCTGGGCCTGTGTTTGGATCCATGCTAGCAGGCAGCCAGAGGCTGTATATGAGACCAGTGCCACTGCTGTCACTTTGGGAGCTGGATGTGAATGAAAAGAAAGTGTTGGAGAGGGTCACAGGAGAGGAGAGGAGAGGAGAGGAGAGGAGAGGAGAGGAGAGGAGAGGAGAG